CTCGAAAGCAATGAGGACAAACCCATTGTAACCCTGCGATTTGACAATGGAATGCGTAATGTTCTGGTTTTAGGCCAGAGCATTTCTCATGCGCCCACTTTTGGCACACATCGCATTCTATACCTTTCGCGACGCGCTTCCCACAACTAACATGTAGACATGGAAACGCTGTTCGTGGCATGTCAAAAAACGAACGATAAAAACGTAAAACAAAAACGGGTTACATCACCTGGAAAACTACAAAAAACGCTATACGCACACTGTAGAAACAAATACCAAAAACTAACACTATATGTAATGCGGCCTTTTAAGAGATCGTAGTAAATATACTAAACACGCACTTAGACGAAGTTACTGTGAGTAAAATGTCAAATATCGTAAGATATTCCACGGAACTATTATCAAAAGGATTTCCAAAGAGAGCACTTCATAATTTCAAACCGCGCGCGAACGTAGCGTACCGAGTAGCATGTCTTAGATGTATGTCCTGCTATCACCACAGAAATTCATCTAGCCGACGCTTGAACGTTTGGCCATTGTTCTCCTCCGGTAGCATATTCCACCTATTGGTCCCCCGACTGGATAGACGGTAAACCAGCGGTAATCCTACCGTATGCTGTTTCGCTTGGGTCAGTCCGCTCTAGAAGCGGAAGCGTCGCCTGCAGTCCGCAGCCCAGGGCTCCGCGGATGATGCATTTCATTTAGGTTAAACCAATTCTCATCCGCGTGTAAGCTAATGGAAACAATCCCGTAGCTTGTAGGCGTCCTTCTTAGTTATTCCCAGACCGGCAACGAGGAGTGGGGTACTGCGCTGTACTCGTTCCAGCTACTGTGGTTCTGTCTTTGCGCATGGAAACGATGCAGGGCCGCCGTATTCCAATCTCGAGCGCACATGTGAGGCGTATAGAACATTGAATGCACTCATGGAAAGTCCACCAAAAGACTGCCGTACGGCTCACAGTATTCGCACATACGTTGTNGTTCCCTCTGCTGGACCCACCCGCATATGCGCACACTTTGAGGTATTAATTGGCAGAGACTATCACGCGGACCGAAGTCCCCAAGAAAGTCCTAAGAAATATTCTGTCTCTGTGTGCGGGCAAAACAATCTTTAAATTATGATACATAAATCATGAAGAAAAAATTGGAATGATATTGCTCTACTCATGACGCAATTTTAGAAGAATTTGGACTACGACCGGGTTTTGTTTGAACGCTTCAATTAGATGCATCCCTATAAATAGGCACAATCTTGTTGGGTGTTTTGCTTAATCGCTATCCTGGTTGCCGGCGTCGTTCAGCAATGGTAAGACTTGAGAAGTTCGTTTTACAATGCAATTCACAAAGAATCCTCAAAGGAAAGAGTTGTTGTTGGGTGTCCTCTCCGTTATTGGAGGAATTTTGATACATTTTACTTTTGGACACTTTTATACGATCGGTGAGCATTAATATTCATTCGTCGTAGCCTAACCACCCTTTTTGTTAGCAAATATGGTACCTTATATCATGGCTTACATCCACGCTTACGTCGACCCGGATGTAAAGGATAGCCTTTCTATATGGCTTTCTGCATTGGCTCTCGGCGTACAAGGCATATCGATGCCGATCGGTGGAATTATAGCTAAAAGATTCGGGTACCGTTGGGCCGTTGGAATTAGCTGCATACTTATGAGGTAATTTCTCCGTTTGATATTACAACCCCTTTTGGTGAGTGAGATGGCCAATTCATTATTCCGGCATAATTACACTGGTGATAATAATAATAATATTCCGTTTCAATTGATGGGGATATTGCTTTTCAGAGAACGGTAATATTTCTTTTCATAACACTTCCTAGTTACAGTATTATGCTGTTAATTTTTTACATAACTCTGGCAGGGTTATTTTAATTATATCGCCATTATTTACTAAACATCTTTTTACAAATACGTTTGCTTGTAGCGCTGATTGGTTCAGTAAGAAAACAGCGTAAATAGAAAGTATATCTTGCGAAATTTATGGGTAATTTAACTGAATGCAAGCGATAAGTTCGGTCACTGATTGTTGAGAATTCCGCCTCATGATAGTTTCAAGTATTTGATGTCACATCAGGGTGTTTTTCGTGACGGTCCCTTTAAACTTAGAAAGGAACTCGTAGGCATTTCAATCATTAGCTACACAATAATTTTGGTCGTGTATTGTACCACTTGGTGTCGCGCAGTTTGCTTTAGCAATTTATGTCAACAGTAAAGTCATTTAGTGACACTAAGAAATTCACCCGTCTACCGCATCAGAAGAAATCAGATCACAGTTGCGATTTTGACCTCAGGATTAGCTCTTCCATAGTTTGCTTGGTTCGCATCGTGGGCTTTACTATCGACAATCTGAGGCTATAAATGGAGACCAGAGCGGTAATCTAAAAGGTCTGAGGTTCGAACCCCCCATTGTCACACAAATTTGGTGATTGACATCTTCGTTGTGGTATGGCTCAATATTCTGCCTAACCTAGCCAGACCTTATGTAGTCCGTCACTCCAAGTTCCGGGGCTTAGATTTCCGTTTTTTATCACTGAACATATTCTCATGACTATGGGGTTTACCCCGTCTGCTGTTCACCATGTAAAAGGTGTAATATAAAAACCAAGAACCTACCGGTAAGGCTCACATACAATAATGTAAAACTTAACCACTATCACAAAAATGTGGACAAAGGAGATGCAAAACTGGTTATGGTAATATGGGATGACAGACCAAGTTTTGTCGTTTCGTCCGGGGCGGTAGGATTTGCGAAGCAGTGTTATACAATGACGAAGAATACTATCGGGTTCTTTATAACTAGTGATTTGAAATGTTGGTATACGTACCTTGTAGAGAAAATCTGGGCAGTTTACGCGGGATTTTACCCTGTCAGATCTACACAAATTTTTTTAAAGTTTATTCATTTTAGTAAAAGAGCCTACAAATTCATGCAATAGAACAATTAAAAGCCCAAGAATGATTTATTTTATTTCCAATAGTTCTACAATCTTAGATCAATTAGGATATCTGGCTACTTCCTTTCTGTTCAGCTGTTGATTTCTGAAATTGGAAGAGTTTTTATCGTCATTTTCACGTAGACCCATTTCTTTCCTGCTCAGCTAACATTTATTAATTTGGAAGTATCATTCTACCCTATCGGGACACGGGACATTGGAGTCCCATTAGTAAGATAGAATTATACTCAACTCATCGTTCTTCATTGCTGTAAGATTGCATTAATCATTTCGGTCTTCTTGTTTGGGGGGGAGGGGAGACGACAACATTGGTTAACATGGCCTCGAACTTTATCTATGAAATGGTAAAATCTTGAAGATACTGTGACGCCGATTGCTTTGTATTGGAGCATAATTAATTCAAAACGCCAAGTACCACTTTTGAAATGTTCCCATAACTAAATATTAAATTATATACTTTTCAAAGTTCTCTGTTATCGAAATGATTAGATCTAATGCCCCATAACGCTGAAGGAAAAAGAGTAATTTTATTTATGTACTTCACGTGTCCAGACCGCAGACCAAATAACCCGTATAACAAGAAAATCAGTCCATTTTTGCTCGTGAGGAGAACGCTGCTAAGCTGTAAAGGCCGTAACAGGTAGATTTACAATCGTAGCCTTCGGTTAGGTGGGGTCTGATCTGCCAAGAAATAGGGTGGTATGCGTAAACCGTAGTCCATTGGGGCCGGGGGCCGGTTCATTGGATAATACGTTCTTTGGACGGGGTGAAGCGTACAGCGGTCCCAATAGATTTCGATGCTCAATCAAGCCGTTGACCACTATCAGAACCAGGAAGGTGTGGGTGTGGTTCTTACACTTGGTTAGTTTGTAGCTGTATCAGTATTCAGCCCCAAAACCAATCATGGAGAATTTTTCTTTTCATAAAGATTATTGTACCAGGATTTGTTTGGCACACAGTCTGGCGTCAGACGTGTGTGAAATACAGTAATATAGCTGTATCACCTAAGCAGGCCGCTGATGCTTCGTGGACATGATTGCAGGCTCAGATGATGACTTGTCGTCCTTTTACTTTGTTTAACTATTCATCCTAGGTGGAGGTAATGGATGGGAATTCTTCAGCAGATGCCACTTGATGTTAAGTGGCTTCTATACTTTCCCGCTTAATCCCACGCCTATCCTAGCGGTTCTGTATTCCACGTGCCGGGGCTTAGGTTGCAGGTTATCATGAGTGAATATTAGGTCTTCGTGACTATGCCTCCACCCCATCCTTTGTTCGTCACACCATAGTGTGTAAGAAAATAAAAATAACATAATTAAGAAAAACAATCTACCAAGCCAACTACAGGACATTTTTCATTTTTTACAAATAAAACGTTGGTCTTCTGCAGTTCAGCGCATTAGTGGACATTTGGTGGGAACAATAATGTTTCATTCCCCTTAGAAGCTATGCCTAATACACACCGGTTGATATATGGTAAACAATTGGAAGCAATATATTGCATGCTTTTGCTGTGTTAGTTGCATCCCTCACAGAATCATTGCAAACGGCTTTGTACCTACTGGTGGGTTGTCCAAACCGGAGGACATCTCTTGTTTTTTATTATTTATTTTGGGTTTGTTGTATTTTTGACAAACATGGTTTTTATCTGAGACGCTGGTTAAAATGCTTCCGCTTCTTATACGAACTGTTGTTAATTTCAAATCTTGATACTTTTGGTAAAGTAATTAAAAAAATAGATTGGTACTTCTAAAATACCTAGCGTTTTTATTTTAGAGCACTTCATAAATACACTACTGTCTAACTAATCCTCCAGCTACTTTTATCGTCCAAATGGAGTAATGTTTTAGTACTGCGAATGACGTTTTTGTATCTGAATCATTATATTCACTTTTCATACTGACGTTTTCGAGGCATTCATTCTCATCCTTGTTTTTATATTGGTTCTTTGTCTATCATCTATCATTTGAACTCCAGTGGAAGCGTCTTGCTTACCTATGTGACAGTTCAGCGATCCTTTGCCGGTGTAATGATTACGTATTCATTAATCAAAGGTGCTGGTCTCGGTTTGGGATACTCAGTTGTGCTTGCCACAGCAACTCCGGTAAGTTATTCTGTTCTGTTACTGAATAACTTTGACAACACTGATAATGTTTAATTTGTGGTGGCATATATAAATTCTTCTCACAGGTTATTCTTTTAAAATTTCCTCTTATTTTACGTATATAGAGAACCTGAGAGCCATAAATACCCATACTGTTTTTGTTGATGGCATCAGATTTTCGAAAGATTTATGCGTTATTCCAGTGCTAAGATATTAATATTAATATTGTTTTGATTGTCGATCACTAAACGAGTACTCAGCTTTGATTAAGTTTATACGAAATAAAGTAAAGCTACTGTTGTCTCTCTCTCTCTTCACGAGATGTTAATTCATGATTGTCACTAGTTTGTTGTCATTCTATTGTTTATCACGCTTCCTTTACACACACCAAATTTTCAGTGGTTCCCTAATCGACGTGGTCTTGTCGTCGGTATGATTGTGGGTGGTTTCGGTCTGGGTGCTCTGATCTTTACACCAATCCAAACTGCATTTATCAATCCCAATAATGTCAAGGTGGACAACGTGACCAGGTGAGTTCAAACGTCAATTTGTTGTTTGTTGCATGCTTATCCTTACAGCTGAAAATCTGTATAATCTCATTTTCACTTGACAGTTTTAATTTGTCATGATCCGTAGATGTTTCTAATGCTGAATTTATTTGTTAGCTTCAATTACTCGCGTTTGAAAACCTTAATTATTAGGTTATTCATCACTGTACGAAGATCACCACATTCCGAACATCAACCCAAATAAAACCATTTCCTGTGTAATTAGCCATTGGTAGCTCGTAACGAATAATAATAATGATAATAGGGAAATCCGAAAGAAAATGCAATGCGCCAGCATGATGTGATGTACGTTCTCACTTTTGCGTATCTTCGGTTAGTCGTTAATCAACCTCGCTTCTTAATAGGAAAACGTTTATATGATGTATTATTAAATTTCACGCGTCTGAGTTCAGATTGTGCCCCAAAATACTATGATTGCATATTGAATGAAAGGGGTCATATATATATACCCCCAGCTTACGAAAAGGCACGGTGCCAACGCAAAAGAGATTATAGTAAAGAGTGGGATTCGGTTATAGATGTCAATAATGTGGAAGAAAAACGACTAATGAGAACCCAAAAGATCAGAATCGACTGTGCTTTTTGTGTTTTTTAAACTCAGCTCTTTCAAAAGACTATAAACTTCCTAATTTGACAAAGCTGTCAAATCAATGTCGTATTGATTCCAGCCATTTTTCCGTACAACTCATTTTTATATTTTTGTGTGCCACCAACCCATGGTTTGACTGTTTTAACCTGTTTTCCAACCTCAGGAACCATTGATTCTCAAGAGATTTTACTTGAGGGTACGTATTAACTTCACGTTATTGAATCTCAGTCTTCTAATTTTACGTAGTCGTAAAAATATAAGTCCAGTTATTGAACAGCTGTTTCGTCCTGTTTGGGACTCGTCAGCAGTGCTTAGTGCCTCTAAACGACCGAATGAGCTAATGCAAGCTTGATCCTTTAAATTGATTGAGCCATTCGCAGAAGGTGATGACCGTCAACCATGTAGCTCAGGGGTATGGGTTTGAAGTCCTAAACCGACTGTTCGCGGTTCGAGTACTAACAAGGGCACAAAACGTATGCACTGCTGACGAGTCCCGAACAGGACGAAACAGCTGTCCATTGCTCTTTGTTGGTTATCACAAACATTTCTTTCGCATGTAAATGCATGAAATTGTGGGGAATCAGCGATCTGCCAAGGAGTGCAACCCACATCCAAGAATATCAAGAGTGCCTGGTGCCTGTAAACGATCGAGTGGGCTAATCCAAGCTTGATACTTTAAAGTCCAGTTTTCATGATTGAGAAAATAAAACATTCGGTTTGCCAGTTTTTCCGCTTCGTTCTCCTTCGTCTTTCTACACTAAAGGTTGGTATTATCGATTGCGTTGCTCGTCTAGATCCTCAAACGCACCAGTGATCAGGCGTCAATGCCCTCGTGTGTATCACGAACTCAGCAAACAAGCGTGTGCTATTTGCAATAAAGCCAACCCCATTATTGCCGCTTGTAGTTGAATAGTGGTAAAATAATTTGAAAGGTTAAACCGAGGAACTTGCTCGTGAAACTGAGTGGAAACCTCAGTGTATGTTGCAACTATGTATAGTTCTTCATACAGTGCTTATTTTAGTCGTTGTAACCATGATGGCAAAATTGTGTCTTGCTTTGGGATGCAATCCAATCAATTTGTAATATTGAACGGATTATGTTTCAGGTAGTTCCATCATGTAATCACGAGTAAATGCTACGCAGTTATCTGTAGAAAGGTGTGATGTGGCCAATAAAACTCACCAGGTATTATGGTAAAAATAGACTGGGATCAACCCAACCTATCAAGTAGCATAATTTTAATTTGGTCATTATCATGGCCACACGTAATCTGTATAAAGTAAGTCTCATGCAACAGCATTCAAAACTTCAGCGACCAGTATTGCCAGTGGCGACAGAGTTTATAAACTGCCCAACCTTTATTTTGTGTACATCCCAAGTATGGTATACACTGAGGGGGTAGAGTACGTTAGCATTAAGAACTACCGTGTTCAGAAAAATGTTCCACAAACATGAGAACAGATTGTGGAAACCTCCGTTCTACAGGTCTTTAGAGTCACCTAACAGGGGCGACTTAACGCTTGTGACCGGGTCCCGCGAGCAAACGAAAATAGATGGGGAACAATTAGCCAAACTCCGCAGGGTGAAATATTTGGTAAAGAAAGCGTCAAGGGGAGCCGATCGAATAGCGATGGGCAGTTGGTTTGAAAAGGATGGATGAGCAATGAAGTACTTTTGTTGAACCTATTATGTGGTCAATCGTTACGGTTCCAGCCTCAAAAAACGCCCACCCACAGCAATTGCTCATCTGAACCTAAAATAGCTCATAACTAAGATATAATATAGAGAAAAATAAGTGTATGAGGTACAGACCATAGTATTCTCAAATTATAGAATAATGAATAATGAAAAGGTCCGTATTCCGGTTTGGAATATGAGGGGGTCCAGTGCTTCTCAGAATGAGTTAAAATAAGATTTAGACATTCAAATGGCATCCGGATATAGCTGCAGTGAGATTTAAAGTCTGAACTTGAAAATATGAGGATTTTCGAAAACCAATATTCTAGTTATCACTTATCTGTGCTATCGCATGGATGTTAAATGGAGGTAGGAATGAAGTATTGCCGAATAGTTCGCTTTTCTCCCTAACCTGTTTCAGTAATGAATTTTCAGTTTGTTTTGCCACCGTAAAAACGTTCTCTACAATCTTACCCAGTTTGTGAATTTAAAATTTTTTTAGCAAATATGTTTAGTGGCGTTGCTAATGATTTAGTAGAAATCAACCGATTCAATGCAGCAAAAAGTTAAATCTCCTGAATAGCCAGAATATCTAGTATGCAATCTCATATCTCATTTTTGTGCAGTTCGATCATTGTATTTTT